ACACACACACACACACACACACACACACACACACACACAAACAAACAGAATAACATTTTAGTCATGCAACTCTGACCGCCATTGTGCTAAACTTGTAAAGTCGGCCACTTCCCGTTTTTTACCTTGAGGGTTTTGTTTTGCTTTATTTAATTACTTTTTTCCTTGTTTGTTGTTGCTGGGTTTTTTTTAACATTACGATGACGCCAACCTGTATAAGACAACCACTGCTTTCATAGACAATTTGGACCGCAGTTGGCAGCTAGGGTTGCCACTAACCAATCTGCCAGACATAGAGTGACTGGTCACTTCGGTGTTCAATGAAGGTTAGCTTGTCTATGTACTTCTCATTAACTCAGCTGGGTAGTTGGCGTGTGCTCTGGCGTGGTTTGCTCCTTCTTTCCTATTTATCAAACATCTCTGGCTCTTTCTCTCGTCCTTTTCTTTATATGATAGACATTGTAAAATCTTTAATCTTCGGCACTTATGAGGCCAATTTGTGGTGCAGGTGCCGTACATCTTTTTACTAAAACTAAATCATGTCTCGCCCTTACCTCTCCTTCTTTTCTTTATATGATACTCTCCAGTAACATCTCTACTCGACAGGGCTTATATGACCTATTCGTGCTGCAAGTACCGCAAAACTCTAACTACAACTAAACTAATTGGTTACCCCCAAAAACGTGTCCAGGTTCCCAGATTATACCAAGCTTGACCGCCTGTTCCACACCGTCCCCGGCCTTGACAACGGACCCGCTAACCTAAACCAGGCCTCCTCAGACGACAAAATCCTCGACATGTCGCCGGGCTCAGATCAGCCACTCAACACAGGCTACTACCACCGCATGTATAAGACCGATAAGGCGGGAGTTAGTGGAGTAAAAGTGAGTGCCGTTCTTTAGAAATGACATGAGAGAGAGAGAGAGAGAGAGAGAGAAAGAGAGAGAGAAAGAGAAAGAGAGATAGAGAGAGAGGAGGGAGAGAGAGGGGAGGGAGAGAGAGAGGGGGAGAGAGAGAGAGGGGGAGAGCGGGAGAGAAAGAGATAGGGAGAGAGATAGGGAGAGAGAGAGAGAAAGAGAGAGAGAAAGAGAAAGAAAGATAGAGAGAGAGGAGGGAGAGAGAGGGGAGAGAGAGAGGGAGAGAGAGAGGGGGAGATGCAGAGAGAAAGAGATAGGGAGAGAGATAGGGAGAGAGAGAGAGAGAGAGGGGGGAGAGAAAGAGAGAGAGAGGGAGAGAGAGGGGCAGAGGGAGAGAGAGAGAGAGAGAGAGAGAGAGAGAGAGAGAGAGAGAGAGAGGGAGAGAGAGAAGAAGAGAGGAGCAAGTGGCCTAAGAGTGAGTCAGGTTCTTTTAAAGACACTACTCTCTTTCCAGCACTACGGAAATGGTGTCTGTTACGTAATAATTTAGAACTACGCCAGTGCCACGCAGATGACGTGGATTCGATTCCCGATTGAGCAAACTATTATTAAATCAAGTATCTTAATCTTTCTGCAGGGATTTTATGTTCTATGAAGTCCAAGTTTTCACAGGACAGATCAAAGCAACCCGCCTGCCAAATGATTTAGATTGTGTCAATGTATGCTTAAATAGAAGTTACCTTAGAGCCTACCTTAACGTGACGAACAATGATTTTCCCTGAATGAAGCAAGCGTTTTCAACAAAAAATCATTTCCTTTGATTTACAACAAGTGTTTTCGATAACCAATCATTTCCTTTGATTTACAGCAAGTGTTTTCGACAACCAAATATTTCATGCCTCACATGAAATGTTGAATTTTCTCTGCCTTAATAAAAGTGTTTCGTGCTGTAAGGACCAATCATTTTGTCTGCCTGTCAGAGAACGTTCAGAGGTTTTAACTACCAATAATTTCATCTGCCTTACAGAAAGTAATCAGAGGTTATAATAACAAATGATTTTCTCTACCTTAGATAATATATTATTGTTCCGTAGTTTAAAAGTGCAATTATTTTCTGTGCTTTACGTAATAAAATGTGCGGAGGTTTTAACAACTAATTACTTTCTCTGCTTTACAGAAAACGTTCCGAGGTTTCAACGACCCCAACTTGTGGGTTGCTGAGACATCACAAGAGGACGTGGCGCCGATGTCGATAAAATCTTGCAACAAAGACTTGGTGAGTTAGTTATAAATAAGACAGACAGACACACAGAGAGAGAGAGAGAGAGAGAGAGAGAGAGAGAGAGAGAGAGAGAGAGAGAGAGAGAGAGAGAGAGAGAGAGAGCGAAAGAGAGCGAGAGAGAGAAAACGAGAGAGAAAGAGAGGGCGGGGGGTGAACTGATGATGATGATGATGGGGATGATGATGATGATGATGATGATGATGATGATGATGATGATGATGATGATGATGATGATGAAGTTTGGTCTTTGTAGTGGGGTGGAATAAATACGGATGAGTCAACTTGTACTTTTCTACCTTGCCTTTGCGCTCGTTTTGAGAAGACATACGTTTTCTACCTGTGTGGAATTTAAAGTTTTACAAATTCCTTTCCTTATTTAGATAATATAAAAAATATGCCACTACTACTTAAACATCTGCTACTACTACTACTACTACTACTACTACTACTACTACTACTACTACTACTACTACTACTACTACTACTACTACTACTACTACTACTACTACTACTGCTGCCGTTGCTGCTGCTGCTGCTGCTGCTGCTGCTACAGCTGCCGCTTCTGCACTACTACTACTAGCACTATAAAATACCTTTACATTGATATTAATGGTTATATATTTAATATATGATTTGACGTACATACTATTTCAGATTCATACCACTTCTTGCCATAGCCTTAATTTTTTATCTGGTCTTCCCGATTTGTTTTTATCGCTCCTTTTGACATTATGACGTGTATGCGTGCACTTTTGTTGCTATAGCTTGTAGTCAATAGATTTTCCATTATATTTTTTGTACATGTTCCTGAAGAAGCCCTTTACCGGGTGAAACGTCGAACGAACTGTGTATAATACATATTTTCTGGAAATACAACAAGGTCTTAACTGTTTTAATACCTTCTTTATACAATGATGATGATGATGATAATGATGATGATGATGATGATGATGATGATGATGATGATGATGATGATGATGATGATGATGATCGTTATTATAATTTCTTCCCCAGGCGACAACGACGTGTCAGACCAAAAAGGCCAGGTTCTCCTACGCCATCCCCCTGGAGATTATTTACATGACCCCTCTCCTCTCCTGGAACCCTTACAACTTGACGATACACGAGGTGTGTGGACTACATGGAGGAAGGAAGGGAGAGAGAGAGAGAGAGAGAGAGAGAGAGAGA